TACACGTACTAAGACTGAGGATGAAAAATGGGGATAAGGAACACTGAAATAGTCTTACAATTCTCCCAAATTATTCTCTATTCTAGATCCATACACAAGAGAGCAATTCTCTGCCTTTTTTAAAGGCCTGTTCTCTAATGTTGAAATGACCATTTGTAAGAGTATGGAGAGAAAATATTAAATATAAACAGGAATCCTGGGGCCTGTAACATTGCTAGGTAATCAGTATTCCTCCTGGTTCTGCACACTAACAACTCTACACGTAACGGAGTCAGTTTTCATGCATGTTATTCACTTGTATCTGTTCTGACTCTCTACCCACCTTCCCCACCTTAACTCTCATCAAAATATCTTCACTGTTGTGGGGTGGAAAACTGTCCTTAAGGCAAGAAGTCGAACCTGGCAATACAGAGTGTGGCCTTGCCCCTTAATTTTAAGAAAAAAGTACTCTGAGAAAAATCCCATTTTGCTATTCACATCACTTAGTCTCTTCTTGCATTTTGCTCTTTCTTCCAGAAATAAAGTGATGATGGCTCCCTAAAAAACCCTTTAAGCCTTCCCAAAGATAAGATGAGCTTCTGATTATTGTCCTTACAATAAGATGCTATAATTTGCTCTCTCCCAAAAACTACTAGGGAAAGACAACATCTTTTTACATTAGGGGTGGAGATGAGAGTATCAGCCTTTAAAAATAGGATACTTGCTTGTTCTGACTTTGAAGCCTAACACAAGGATGTGGCTTTATGTGGAAACTTTCCCCATTTGGACTGGCCCTAGCTTTAGCCTCTTCAGCTTTACCATGGTGTCAAAGTAGAACACTCATCTGGAGATGAAGGTTCTTCTTTGTTTTTTTTTTTTTGAGATGGAGTATCGCCCTTGTTGCCCAGGCTGGAGTGCAGCGGCATAATCTTGGCTCACCGCAACTGCTGCCTTCCAGTTTCGAGTGATTCTCCCGCCTCAGCCTCCTGAGTAGCGATTACAGGCACCTGCCACCACACCTGGCTAATTTTTGTATTTTCAGTAGACGGGGTTTCACCATGTTGGCCAGGCTGGTCTCAAACTCCTGACCTCAGGTGATCCGCACACCTCGCCCTCCCAAAGTGCTGGGATTACAGGCATGAGCCACTGCACCCGACTGAAGGTTCTTCTCATTCTTGCTTTTACTTGTGTGATTTTGGTCAAGGTACTTAATATCTGTGGATCAGTTTCATCAGTTATAAAATAAGAGTTGGAACTAAAGTTAAGCCAAAGGTAAAAAAAGAATAATCATTATTACAGCTTCCCACATACTTTAATGACTCTTGGAAGTTATCTCACTCAAAAGCAGGATCTGCCTCACTTTAATTTGGGTCCTTATAACAGGTCCAGCATAAGATGGCATGGTCAGAGAACATGTACAGAGAACTGTACCCCATAATTATGAAGAGAGAGGTTTGTTTGCTTTTATTTTGGAACCTCTTCTATATTTGAAAAAACATATTCAATATAAATGAAAGGTCAGGGGTGAATGAATTGTGCTTTAAGTAAGTTTTGAAGACAACTGCCATCTAGTCTTTGCAGTCTGCAAAATTCTTCTTTAAGTGAATAAATGTGTAGGGCAAATCTCCATCACCTTGATCAGCATCTAATACCAACCTGACACTTAGAATTAAATTAGAGAAACAAAATTGGATACTTTGAGACTTGAGGGCTGATTATACTGCTTGAGCTAAGAATGGATTTAAACTCTTCCCTTATCCCATTTAAATCTAACTAGGTATAAACTCTCCATTACTAAGGAATAGAGGTGTGTCTGCAGAGGTGGAGGTTCCCCTTGATGTTCTTGGACAAGGAAACCTAATCCTTTCTTCTGACACACATGGTTGCAATAGAAACCATTTCCCAACTGCCAGTCTGGTTTTAATCTGTTGTTTCTAGCAAGAGAGGATTTGCAGGGAATGTTAAGGAGAGAACAAAATTACCAGAACTTACTATAAAGTAAAAGTGTTGATGAGAAATCAAAATTTAAACAAGTGTTCAAAATTGTAAGCATGAACATATGCAGACACATAGTTCATGCTATAAGAATAGGACTATAGAAGTTTTTAATCTTAGGTATGTTTAAAGTCTGCTCTCAATACAACATTTATATCTCACTTTACCAAAGTTCTTTAGCTTACTCAAATGATAGCAGTGGTAAAATACTGTCATTAAATACAGTGGTGCTTCATTTAAACAACACTGTTGGAGAAAGAAGTATTCCATAGGAGAATTTTCCATATAACCAACTGCATAATACACACTTTTCTTTCTTTTTTTTTTTCTCTGAGACAGTCTTGCTGTGTCGCCCAGTGTGGAATGCAGTGGCTCAGTCTGGGCTCCCTGAAACCTCTGCCTCCCTGGTTAAAGCAACTCTCGTGTCTCAGCCTCCCGAGTAGCTGGGACTACAGGCGCACACCACCATGCCCGGATAATTTTTGTATTTTTCATAGAGATAGGGTTTCACCATGTTGGCCAGGCTGGTCTGGAACTCCTGACCTCAAGAGATCTGCCCACCCCGGCCTCCCAAAGTGCTGGGATTACAGGTGTCAGCCACCATGCCCAGCCCATGATATATATACACTTTTAAATGTTAACCATTTTGTATGAAAACATTTCAAAAGTGTATTACGGGTTTTTTCTTTAAACATACATTGAATAATGTATCTTTCCCAGAGGAGTCACGGTTACCATTATTAAAAACTTATTAAAATAAGTTAAATATACTGAGCTGAATATATTCCTCCTCTTAGAAGATGGTGAGCTTTGTAGTCATACTTTCCCCAACACCAAAACGCTTACTGTGAAAAAGTACAAAAGTAGACAGAACTGGTTCATTTTTAATACATCCTGTGTCTTTTCTGTTAACTTCCTTCCAGTGGTTAAAAGCATATCAATCGCTGACAATAAGCTGTGTAATTTGTTCAAATCCAATTTACTTTTAAAAGAGGTGCCTACTCTGCACAAGAGACTATTCTAGGTGCTGGGGGAGATGTTAGAAATATAAACTATAGTCCTTGTCCAAGAAGCAAGGCTGAGTGACACCTGAGAGTTACCAGGTGACCACCAAGGTGCAAAACACAATTTATTACTTCTAACAAAGTCTAAAAATTAGCAAATATTTCTGATTTTAAAAATCAGGATACTGAAGTTATCAAACTTGTGGTCTGAAGTTCCACCTTTTTTAGTGGGACTATGTCTTGGAAATACGTCCCACGAAAATATTATTGGTCATGGGAGTCTGCAGATAAGACTAAGAACTACTTCTTGAAGAAATAAAGTAGGTATACACTTTGACAGCTTTTGGTGCACCATAGTCTTATTGCTAGGTTTTATCTTGCTATCTAGATGGCTAAGGATGTCAGAAATCTAACCTTGCTAATTGCTAGGGTCATATAATCTAATTAATAAAATATATGTAAAAAACTGTACTGTAATGCTTTGCTCTATGTATGAGTAAAACATGTAGGGCATTTATTAAACTGCATTTTACAAGGGATAACATACATCCCCTTTCCCCTGGCAAGGTTTGTTTCCAAGGTCTCAGTAATACCACATTCTTTGGGTTCTACAACACCTCTTGGCTCCTTTATTCCCATCATCTGGCTGCTTTCATTCCACAAACTCTATCTGGTGGTCTCAAGGATTTCCTTGGTTTCAAGTACCATCTGTTCTGTAGTTCATATCGCTTCTGAGCTTCAGACCCATGTATCTATTTAATTGGCACCACATTTTGGAAGTACTACAAGCACCTCAAATTTAACAGCCAAAACCAAACTGATGAGTTTTGTTGAAGGCTGTAACTTGATTTCCTAGTTTTTTTTTTTTTTTTTGCCTTCATCCCTTTTCTGCTCACTTTTCTGCTCACTTCTAAATTACACCAATTATACTTGAACTTCACCAGTACTTTGTATACCTACAAGATTATACTATACGGTTTTAATTTACTGTTTTGTCTTACCCTGGTAGATTTCAGCTCCTTTATAGGCATCTCTTATCTCCTACCTCTCCTTGGTAATTTTCAGTAGCTGGATGAATTATAACAAAACACATAAAGGAATCCTCATTAATTTCTTCCAGTTATATTTTTACTGAAACACTCGTAAATCTGTCTGGGCGATTTTTAGGTGAATTAACAGAAGCAGGAGAACTGTATTAAATTTTATCATAACCCCAAACAAAACAATTTCTTCCACCAGGTATAACCTTCCTGCAGTCTTTCCTAGATTAGGTTGAAACACCCCAGTCCTAACCACTCCTCCTCAAAACTTGGTGTTGGCTTCTTTAACACCTATTAAGTGTACATCATTTATTTATCCGATACTCTATTAGACTGTACACATCTTGAAGGCAAGATATGTCTTTCTCTGTACTTTCAGTGCCTAGCACATTACGGTAGGGTTCAACAAAGTTCACAGGACGAATGAAATAAGGCCACATATGCCCAGTGCGGTGGTGCATGCCTGTAATCCTAGCACTTTGAGAGGCCGAGGCAGATGGCTTGGCTTGAGCTCAGGAGTTTGAGAGGGCCTGGGCAACATGGTGAAACCCTGTCTCTACCAAAAATACAAAACTTAGCCGGGCGTGGTGGCGCACCCTTGTGGTCCCAGCTACTCAGGAGGCTGAGGCAGAACAGCTTGAGCCTGGGAGGCGGAGGTTACAGTGAGCCGAGATCGCGCCACTGCACTTCAGCCTGGGCGAGAGTGAGACCTTGTCTCAAAGAAAAAAAAAAAGGGAAATGAGGCCACATACGTCTAAAAAGACCACTTACATTGCCCTCTAAAAGAACTGGGAGTTCCTAAACAAACTTTTTTAAGGTTGCCTTCACAAAGCTAAGATGAGAAAGGCAGCCTACTTGACTTTCTTCCCAGTCTAAAGCGCTGCTACTAATAATCCCCAAAGAGATTCTCCTTCCAGGAAGGCTGATGCAGACATGGAATCCAGGGAAAATCACTAAAGCCCCACCTCGTTCCTGTCCCCACCTGCTCGTTAAAAACTGCACTCCGCCTGATAGCGGCTGCGCCGCGGAGCCTGGAGGCCCGGGCCGCGCCCAGCAAGCAGGAGTCGCGAGACTGGGATTGGCTCTCTGAACAGACGTCATTACGAACAAGACGGCTCCGCCCTTCTCAAGATGGCGCTGCACTCAATGCGGAAAGCGCGTGGGTGCTGGAGGTTCATCCGGGCACTTCATAAAGGATCCGCAGCTGCTCCCGCTCCCCAGGTAACCAAAGACGGCCCTTCCCTCCACGGCTTCCCACGCGCGAGGTTCTTCTCATCCCACTGCCCTCTATATCTCTCCTCCCGCTTCTTAGGGAAAGTACGTGCCTTCTCTCGCCTAAGGTCTACTCGCCTATGACTGCCGGCCTACTTAGAGCGTAGTGACGTTGCAAGGATACGTGATGACGTAAAGGTCCCTTGGTGGAAAAAGCGCGCCGCTTCCTGACGTCTTGAGGCAGCCTCCAGTTCTGGGAGCCGAGCGCCGCCGCTGTTGCCGGGCAACGCGGTGAGGCTACCCTAGCTGTGATGTTTTCAGAGACCGGTTGTTTTAGAGACTGCTCTTCTTATCGTGGTCCTATTACTGTTTTTACCCTCCTTACCCTAACAACAAGCTAAGGGGCTATCGGAGAGGTTAGGGAAGTCTTGTTAGGCATTGGGAAGCTTAGGTCCGGGCAGCAGATTGGCAGTGTGGTACTTGAGCAGGTGTCAGTGCTTCTTCCATTCTGGTTGCTTCTCGTGACTCCACAGCACTGCTGTATCTAGCAGGTGAAAGAGTGACCGCAAGCTGCCACAGAGTTCGTCCTGTCCTGCGCTTGACAGCACTGCCGTTACCATTAATCTCGTCGTATGGAGACCATGTCACGGCCTGGTCTTATTGGGATTTGTCTTAAATATTTGGAATTTTACCCTCAAAGCAAAAAAGTCAGGGGGAAGGGATACTCTTTCTGTTATTCAGGCTTTTACCAAACGTCTTCCAAGTGCAGTCTCAGTGGCAAGCACTTTGACATACGATGTCTACGGGAGATAGCTTCTGGGAACTAGAGGGAAAGGAGAGAATGTGGTAATGTAATTTCCTGGCGTCGTTTGCATATTCATTGCTATAATGCGTAGGTGTGAGGATGTCACACCTATTGTAACTGATGTGTTGAGAGCTAGACTGGAAGGTAGCCTAGAGGTCAAAGGTTTGGTCTGCCGCTTGATAGCTGTGTGAGGAGAGGAGTCAATCTCTTTGGGACGTTTTTTTTTTTTCTTTTTTTTCTCATATTGAGTGGAGGAAGAGTTGGACTGATTGACATGTTAATGTTCCTTCAAGCTCTGGGAAATCTATAGTTCCATGATTATGAAGCCAAAACAAAGCCAGTGAGAGTAATTATGGAAACCAAGATTTAGGTTCAACTTATTTTTCTAATCATGTCATAAATTTTTTGAACTTCCGTTTTTTTATTGATGTGAGCCTCTCAAAATTCTTATAAGCTAATGTATTAATATATTACCAGAAAGCTCCTTGTCAACAAACAACTATTCAAATGTTACTTTAAATTTCAGCAGCAATGTTAGGCAAGACAATTAGATAAATTTATCAAAAATTAGATAAATTTATCAAGAATTCCTCTTCTTGCAATTTGAGGGTTTGATTCCGCAGAAGCAGAATTAGCTGATTATTTATAATTAATAGCACATTAACACCTGTGTTATCAAAGTAGCTAAGCCTTAGACCCAAACTTCCTCTTATTCCAAACTAAAGAATTGAAGATGTCTTGAGAATAGAGAATCAAAGAGAAAAAAGAAAAAAAGAAAAAAACTACAGCCTGCTAAAGACTGCCCAGGGAAGTTTAAGACACTAAGTCATTATAAATGCTAAAGAAAAAATTTCTTAAACCTCTACTATTGTTGCAGTGGCATTTATGAATAGGGCTATTAAAGTTAATTATTAATCTAGATTGTTTCAAGATGTAGAATTTCCAGTACAGATGAATGTTTCTAAACATTTAATTTAGCTTTGAGTAGAATAAGAATTAAATGTGCGAGTATTTTTTTAAAGTGTAAATCTACATATAATTTCAGTCATTGAAAATGATGGTTTGAAAAATTAATGTGGTCTTTCAAAAGACTAAGACACAAAATTGTGTTCATAGTGTTATTACAGTGTTATGTTTATATATAAGTGTTTATATAAACATATACGTAGAAAAAAAGACTGGAAGGGAACAAACTTTTTTAACTTTTAAATTTTGCTTTGGCCTTCCTAAATAGTGAGTTAAAAGTTATTTGTTTCCTTTTACAGCATTCCATATTTTTCACATGTCTAAATTGAAGACACACTTTTTTATAACCAGAAAAAAGTTTTGAAATCATAAATCTTTATACAAATCTTTAGTCATTAATACCGTTTGTGATACTTTAGGTTTCTGGGGAAGATACTTGTCCCACAGTGCCATTATTAAAATGGCCTTAGAAAAGGACTACTAAAAATTTATGGCCACTTTTCCTGTATGTATCTTCTTTTTCTCTTGAAAAGCTTCCTTTGAAGTCAAAGGGATTTTGTGAACAGATGCAGAAATATGTGAAAGAGGCATTGGATTCTTAAACCAGATGCATTAGACATTTTTATGATATCTCATAACCTTTGTAGAAAACAAAGATTATTTTGCAAGACTAGTATAATGGGAAAAAATGTATATTTATCATATGAATGGTTCTATCAAAAACCAAGAAATAGCCACGTTAGTTTTTATTGGCTTTGGCTGTGCACTTACTCCCTGAGTTGTGAAGCAAAAGTGAATGAGCCATAGCAGTGCTATGTTAGAAACTCTAACTAATAAAGTATTGTGATTCCTAGGTTGTTTTAATGGTTTTTAGTGTTTTCCTTTTTAAAAACAAAATCTTGGGTAAAAAGCTTGACATAGGGCATTTTTGCTTATCTCAGATGCAGGCTTTTATCTCTCAAGGCCAGATGTAAACTGAAGTTGAAAATAAAAATTAGGGAGAAACAGGAATAACAGCACATCACTCCATACTCATTATGGGATGTCTACAATTTATATGAAAACGGTTTATTTTGCCAGGTGTTGCCTGACAGAAAACTGTTGAAATCTGACAAGATGAGCGTAGTCATAGAGTCAGAGGAATTAAGACTTGACATGTTCTGTTTAAATGTTGATGGTATTAGGTAAATTTAAGCCTGTCATCATTGGCCAAACACAGAATCCATACTTCTTTAAGAACTAAGTCATGATGGTGTTGTGCAAAGAGTGAAATACTGATGGTTAGATTTTTGCAAAAATATTTGTTACTCAGTTGAAGTACGATAAAGTGTCCACGTTTTATTGCAGTTGAACATGCTTCATTATTAGCAGTTCCTAGCCTGGGTTTGGCCAGTATTCACATAATGTTCTTGCTGTTAACAATTGCCAAGTATAGCCATTAGATGAAGAATTATGCCTTAAAAAAAAGCATGGTTTAAAATTTTGGACCCTGTATTTCTCACAAGACTTAAATTTTTTTAATTTAAAAATAATTTTAGATTTACAGAGTTGCAAAATTAGTACAGAGAATTTCTGTGTACCCTTCACCAAGCTTTGTCTTGAATAATCATAATACAGTTATCAAAATCAAGAAATTAATGTTGGTACAAAAATAGTAATTTAGCTACAGACTTAGTTCAAATTTCACTAGATTTTCACTGTCCCTTTACTTAGTCCAAGATCAAATCCAGGATCCTACATTGCATTTTGCTTTCATGTGTTTTGTAATCTATACATTTTCTCTTTCATGACCTTGGCACTTTTGAAGAGAACTGGTCAGTTATTTTGTAGAATGTCTCTCAGTTTAGGTTTATCTGATTTTTCTTTGTGATTAGACTGAGGTTATGGATTTTTGGCAAGAATACTGCGAAGAGATATTGTTCATAACAAGACCTTGAGGCAGATATTGCCACCTTATTTTAAACATGAAGAAATAGTCTTTAGTTAAGTAACTTGCCCAATGTCACACAATGGTGGAATTAGGATGGTAAGATTTAATGTAGGCATTTCATTCCGTATTTTGCAATTAGTATTTGTTACTGTAGGTTTCTGCATTGTTAATGACATTAAATTGGGGTAGTGTTCCCACTGACTTTTAGCTTTTCTCTGCCATGTATTGTTCATGCAACATGCAACATGAGCTAATCGGCATGGTATGTGTTCAAGAGCTACTACAACCATCTGGGAATTTTGCTAGTTGATTAGTCTGACAATTTGATGAGGTTACTTCATCTCTTGTGGCAAATAAAGGTGTTGCATGGATCCACTCTAAAGCTCCTTTTAATCTCAGTCAGTGAGTGTGTTTGTTTAAAGTGTTCTTGTGGTTGGTTGCTTTTGTGAACTGACCTAGTTTATTATAAATGATAATAATATTTAAATTCTTTGCAAAATAGCTTTGAGCAGCTAATGTAAACTACTGATAGTAACTGTTGAAAATATAGACGAAAGAAGAACTGTAGCTGAATGCTAAGGATTTATGCTAGCAGATAGTATGGCAGCCATGGCCTGGAAATGCTAAAGAGAGTGATGCTGCTGACCTCCAAATTCTTGCTCAGTGTATCTTTTGAATGACTGCAAGTTATAGAAGAGTTGTCTGCAGAATCTTCTGCAACTATATCTGCACACACACAGAGACAAAAATATATATATTTTTGTATAAATATATTTATACACATTTATTTATTTATTTATTTATTTAAACATGTATTGGCCAAGCACTGTGGCTGATGCCTGTAATCCCAACACTTTGGGAAGCCGAAGCCGGTGTATTTCTTGAGCTTAGGAATTTGAGACCAGCCTGGGCAACATAGTGAGACTTGTCTCTATCAAATATTCAAAAAATTAGCCGGGCTTAGTGGCATATGCATGTAGTACCAGCTAGTCAGGAGACTGAGGTAAGAGAATCCCCTGAGTCCAGGAAGGCTGCAGTGAGCAGTGATTATGCCACTGCACAGTTAAGATCCTGTCTGAAAAGCAAACAAAAAAGCCCCCCAAACCCATCTGTCTGTCTGCCTGTCTACCTCTCTCTCTCTCTCTCTCTCTAATCTATCTATCTCTATATTCCTTGTCTTTTAGAAAAGGAACTAACAGCTAGTGCGTGCTATGTGCTAAAGCCTCATGGTATGTGTTACACATACTTTGTCTCATTTACTTCATACAACAATTTGTAAATATTATTCTTCCCATTTTATAAAAGAGGAAACTAAGGTTCAGAGAGTTTAGGTAATTTTCCCAAGTCACAGAGTAAGTAAATAGCAGTAACACAATTCAAAGCTAGTCTTGCCTATGCTTTTCCCACTTTACCAGTAGTCTTTTTTTTTTTTTTTTTTT